ATGGTATAATTTTGCAAGACCAACTTACTCATTGCAGATACCTTTTTCAACAACTTAAATGGTGTCTATACATAGGAACCTCACCAGATAAAGAGATAATGGAAAAACTCAATACCTTCAGTCAGAACAAGGCCAAGGTCTGACTGTGGAACAGGCCATCAACTTGTATATACGCAAGTTGAAGTTGAAGCTGAAGAAAATTAAAAGAAGTCCGTGAGAGCCAAAATATATATCCTCCTGAATTTAGACAGTGTTTCTTTGCTATTCATAAGGTTTTTCCTGGCCAATTCTTTGAGAAGTGGATGGCTTCTTCCTTCTTTCTAGTCTGTCTCAGTCTGTAAGCTGGGCTGATACCTGTGCACAATGTGCACCACACTGCGTTTGAAACACCAGTGGCTCAGCCTCAAGACTCACATCAACATGTCACCATGGTAGGACAAACTGACAGACAAGTTTGTCTCCCTGTTGGAAACCTCTCCTACCACCCTTACCTGGATCCCTGCAGTTGACTCCTCATCTGTCCTGGTCCCCAGGCCTATTCCTCTCCTCTCTCCCGTTCTCCCACCCTGCTGCTTTAGGGCATGGCCTGGGTTCCTTCTCCTCACCTGGATCCCTGCGGCTGACTCCTTGTCTGTCCCGGTCTCTGAATTTAGAGACCATCTGAAGAATAGATTTGATGCATTGAATACATGACTGAAGACCAGATGAGTTGTGGGATCATATCAAGAACATCATACATGAAGAAAGCAAAAGGTCATTAAAAAGACAAGCAGGAAGAAAAGATGGATGTCAGGAGAGACTCAGAAACTTGCTCTTGAATGGCAAGGAGCTAAAGCAAATGGAAGAATTGATGAAGTAAAGTATCTGAACAAAAGGTTTCAAGTAGTGGCTCCAGAAGACAAAGTATTACAATGTGCAAAGACTAGGAGTTACAAAATCAAAAGGGAAGAACACTCTTGGCATTTTTAAATCCAAAAGAACTGAAGAAAAAATTCAAGGCTTGAATTGCAACACAAAAGGATTCTATGGGCAAAATATTGAATGATGTAGAAAGCATCAAGAGAAGATGGAAGGAATATATAGAGTCACTGCATCAGAAAGGATTGGTCAATCTTCAGCTATCTCAAGAGGTAGCATATGATCAAGAACTGATGGTATTGGAGGAAGAATTCCAAGCTGCACTGAAGGAACTGGTGAAAAAACAAAACTCTGGGAATTGATGGAATACCCATCAAGATTTCAACAAACAGATGCAACACAGAAAGTGCTCACCTATTTATGCCAAGAAATTTTGAATGTTTCTAGCTAACAAACTAGAAAAAAATCCATGTTTGTGCCCATTCCAAAGAAAGGTAATCCAACACAATGCAGACATTATCAAACAATATCATGAACATCCCATGCAAGTAAAATTATGCTGAAAATAATTAAAAAACACTTGGCAGCAGTATATTGACAAGGAATTGCCAGAAATTCAAGCTGGATTCAGAAGAGACGTGGAAGGAAGGAGGGTCATCATTGCTGATTTCAGATGGATCTTGGCTGAAAGCAAAGAATACCAGAAAGATGTTTACCTGTGTTTCATTGACTGTGCAAAGGCATCTGACTGTGTGGATCATAACAAATTATGGATAACATTGGGAAGAATGGGAATTCTGAAATACTTCATTGTGCTCATGAGGAACCTGTGCATAGACCAAGAGGCATTCATTTGAATAGAACAAGGATACTGTGTGGCTTTAAATCAGAAAAGGTGTGCGTCAGAGCTGTATCCTTTCATGATACTTTCTCAGTGTGTATCTGAGCAAATAATTCAAGAAGCTGGATTATATGGAGAAGAATGTGGTGTCAGGATTGACAGAAGACTCATTAATAACCTCCAATACACAGATGACACAACCTTGCTTGCTAAAATGAAGAAGACTTGGAACACTTGCTGATGAAGACCAAAGACTACAGAGTCCAGTATGGGTTATGCCTCAACCTAAAGAAAACACAAAATCCTCACAACCGGACCAGTAAGGAACATCATGATAAATGGAGAGAAGATTGAAATTGTCAAGGATTTCATTTTACTTGATCCACAATCAATGCCCATGGAAGCAGCAGTCAAGAAATCAAATGTCGTATTGCTTTGGGAAAATCTGCACAAAAGATATCTTTGCTCTTCAACACTTTAAAGACTAAGGTGAACCTGACACAATCCACTGTCTTCGTAGTAGCCTCATGTGCATGTGAAAACTGGAAAATGAATAAGGAAGACCGAAGAATTATTGACGCATTTGAATTGTGTTGGCGAAGAATATTGAATACACCATCTGGTGGCATAGTGCCTAAGGCATTTGACTGCTAACCAGAAGGCTGGCAGTTCAAACTCACCAGCCACTTGTCGGAAGGAAGATTGGGCAATCTGCTTCCATAGAGATACCACCTCAGAAACCAAACGAGGGGCTGCTATGAGTCAGATCCTACTCGATGGCAGTGAGTTTGGTTTTTGGTTTTGGTTTGCCAAAGAACTAACACATCTGTCTTAGAAGTACAGCCAGAATGCTCCTTAGAAGCAAGAGTTTGTTTCTCATGCTATGGACACATTATCAGAAGGGACCAGTTCCTGGAGAAAGGTATCGAGCTTGGTGAAGTAGAGCATCAGTAAAAAAGGGGAAGACTCTCAACGAGGTAGATTGACACAGTGCTGCAACAATGAATTCAAGCGTGGCAGCGATTGTGAGGGTGGCACTGGACTCGGCCGTGTTGTGTTCTGGTGTTCACAGGCTCACTGTGAGTCAAAACAGACTTGATGGCACCTGACAACAACAACAATTGAGACGATCATGTGAATTTTTTTCTTTGTTACGTTAATATTGTGTATTCCATTGATTTTCATATGTTGAACCAACTTTACACTTTGGGGATGATGTATATATACCCTTGTTGTTGTTATGTGCCGTTGATTCCGACCCGACATATAGCAACCTCTCCTTGGGTTTCTGAGGCAGTATCACTACAGAAATAGATTGCCCAACCCTTGGTCGTGGTATATAACCCTTTTATGTTTTTGTTGTTGCTAGATTTAGTATTTTGAGGATATTTCCATCTGCATTTATGAGAAATATTATTTCATAGTTTTTTTAAAGTATCTTTTGTTTTGGTATCAGGTAATACTAGCATCATAGGATGAGTTGAGAAGTGTTCTCTCTATTTTTTAGAAGAGTTTGTGAAGGATTAGTGTTAATTCCTATAATGTTTGGGAAAAAAATCACCACTAAAGCCATCTGAGCCTGGAGTTTTCTTTAAGTTAATAATTTAAATATTTTAAGTCTATTATTATTATTATTATTATTATTATTATTAATTCAGTCTCTTTAAGATATTGCCAGTAATTCAGTTGACTCCTCTTAAGTCAATGTTGGCGATTGTGTTTCTAGCAATGTGTCCATTTCATCTCTATTTTCTAAAATGTTTCCTTAAAAACCTTTATATTTCTATAAAGTCTGTAGTAATACCTTACTTTCATTCCTAATTTTAGTAATTTGAGTTTTTTTCTTGGTCAGTTTAACTAAAGTTTTGTCAGTTTCATCAATCTTTTCAAATAATCAATTTTTTATTGTATTTATTTATTTTTTAATATTTCCCTCATTCATTTATTTATTTCCACTATACTCTTTATTATTTCCTTCTTTCTGCCTGCTTTGGGTTTAATTTTCTGTTAAAGTTTTTTAAAGTATAATACTAGGTTATTGATTTCAGATCTTTCCTTTTAATAGAGACATTTATAGCTATAAATTTGCTTCTAGGCTCTGCTTTAGCTGCATCCCAGCTAAAGCACTCATCACAAAGTACTTCCTAAATTCTCTCTCTCTCTCTTTTTTTTTTTTTTTTTTGAGCCATTGGTTATTTAATAGTGTGTTGCTTAACTTTCACATATTTGTGACTTTCCCAAATTTCCTTCTGTTACTGATTTCTAATCTCACTCCACTGTGGTAAAAGAACATACTTTGTACAATTTCAGCCCTTTGAAATTTATTGAGATGCATTATATGGCCTAGCACATTGTCTGTCTTGAAGAATATTCCATGTGCACTTGAATGTGTATTCTGTGATTAGGTGAGCTCCTTGTCAGGTAAATAAAGGGAGCTTTGCAAGTAGGATTTTCCAGGGAACTACCAGATGAGTCAAATAATGACAATTTTCTGGGAGTAAGGTTTTGAAGGAGTTGTTACACCCCAATTTATTTTTCCCCCCAGTGGCTACTAGGCTGTTGGCTTTCATCCTAATTTGGGCTTTTGGTTTTCAAAGCTACCATGGAGTTGGAGAGGGGATGACAGGAATAGGGCAACTTACAATGTCCCAGAGCTTACTGTTCTTATCACGATCCAGGCTTTTACTTGAATAAATACTTCCTGGCTTGAATAACTAAATTGCTGCAGCCATTAGTTAATTTCTAGAATTTTGAATAAGTTGATGCTGATCATTTTTGCATTTTCTTAGTGCTTATGGAGGAGAGAATTTTCAGGAGGGTCCTTCTGCTGCCATTTTAGCTGACATCCATTAGCATGTTCTTACTGCATGCCTTTAAAAAGATACTGGGTATCAAAGATGATAAGAATTAGCTTTTGTCTAAAGCAGGAGGCTTCTGAGGGGCCATCAGTGTCTTTCCCTCCCTGGACATTGACCAGTGTGCAGGACAGGGCATTCTGGTCAAGCCAGCCTGTTCTGATCAGATGGATGGCTAGACTAGATGACCTTCACCATTCATTTTGTGGGGCACTCTGACCTGAACATCTCTCTCCTTGCAGGTCAGCCTCACCCTGGATGAAATAGTCAATGGTGTGAATGGCACAGACCCAGAGCTGTGTTTCCAGGCCACCCAGGCAGCCAGGTATCACCAGAGAGATTTCTGCTGTTTGCTGGCTTGGAGGTGGAAGGGAGCTCCAGTAGCCTATGTGGTTTCTTGGCAATGGCACAATGCCCACAAAATATAAGAAAAGGCTCATCCTTCCAGAAGAGAGATCCAATTGCTGCTCTTCACTGTCCTTGAGGGCAACTTAAAATATGCAATGTGTTGTCAGAGATGAATGGCTTCATTTAAATTGGCCTCTGCAGGAATCTCTGCTCATAGATAATACCTGTAGGGAAAATGTCACTTCATCGCTGCACAGTGCTACGGTCTGGACTCTAGGCTACTGAGTAGCTCTAGCTGAGCTGTTTGTCTCACTTGATAGTTAGGAATGCCAAGAACATCCATAACAGAGGTTCTTACTACTTGCTTTCATGTGACTTGTTTCTCTAATTCTCTTTCGTTGCCTAGGAAAATGCTGTCCCGGGAAAGGAACCCACCCCTCAAGTTAACGGTGGAAGCAGGACTCGTCCCCAGGCTGGTGGAGTTCCTGAAGTCCTCCCTTTACCCCTGCTTGCAGTTTGAGGCAGCCTGGGCTCTGACCAACATTGCTTCAGGGCCGTCAGAGCTGACCCGAGCTGTGGTGGAAGGGGGTGCCGTCCAGCCCTTGATTGAGCTCCTGTCTTCCTCTGATGTGGCTTTATGTGAACAGGCAGTATGGGCCCTTGGCAATATAGCAGGTGAGCTGCACCCCTCGGTGGGCTAAGAAAAGTGGTCCAGGCCTGTGGCAGGTACGGGAACTCTTTGGGCGGTATGGTGGGCTTAATATTTTGGACCCCCTGCCAGGATGGATGTTGTTGTTACTCGCTGTTAAGTCAACTCCAAGTCAGAGTGACCTGATGTCTGACAGAATGAAACATTACTGGGTCCTGTCAAGGGAACATATTTTACAAGTGTCACTTTGGCTTGGGGTAAGGTCTCCCATGAGGACTCAGTCACAGGAGTGCCATCATGGATATGGGCCTTTATTCCCTACAGGGCCCAGGAAAGTACACACTGAGACGTCAGTACTGCAGGGTTGGAAGTCAACCCAACCTCTGCTCCCCGATTCCTGTCTGACGTAAATCCCAATACTCTCCAGGGAAACAAACTCAATTGGGCCCCTCGAGATTTTGACAAACTAAGATCAGCCAAGTGTTAGCAATTTCGGTTCAGGGAGGAAACAAGCCACCATGACGGGGTGGACAGAAACAGCGTGATCAGACCTTCAAAGACTTCAGGTACTGGAGTTAGCAGCTACAGACTACAGATAGCTTCTAAAATGCTTGCAGGTAGGAAGCCCCAGTCACAGAGACCTTCTGCCTCTCACTCTGTGGGGGTCAGTAGGCAACAGGCAAGATTGGGGGTATAATATTATTAATGCCTTGCCTGATGGCTGAGGAATACAAACTGAGACTTCCATGGTCTCAAGTTGGTGGTTGAGCCTAAGTAGCAGACAGTGGATAGCCGATACATAGTGATTTTCCCAGATTTTGCTCTGAATTGCATTTGGAAGTTACCCTTCAACATCCTGAGAGTCATGCTATAAAACACTCCCAGCATTTAGAGTACATTCCCTGGGGCTTTATACGTCCATGACCTCTGCTGACAGCAGCTGCAGCTACTTGGTGTCTCCACTGTCCATGTCAAACTTATCTTACCAACCAACACGTTGGAGACCCTGAATTTCATACATGACTATCCTATCGACTCGCCAAACCCAGGAATGAGTTTAGGCCTCTTGCTCATTGAGGAGATCATTTTTTTTTTTAAAAAAAAAAACAAAAAAACTTGTTCACCAACCCTGGGGGTTCTCTTTGTTCTCTCTCTGAATGTCATTCTCTGACCTGTTTGTAGGTGACTGCCCAGAGTTCAGAGACATCGTTATCTCAAGCAACGCCATCCCACATTTGCTGACCCTGGTTTTGTCACCCATACCAGTGAGTGCCTTTAAATTAGAAACCTCGCCAGGGAACAAATTCTCCAGGTTGGGAAATTTTGGGTGGTAGTTCCAAATCAACGGTAGGTTGTGTGGCTGCTGCCTGGTCCCCTAAGACAGCCGTTAAGAACAAAGTCTAGTACTCAGTATCAATATGGTTAAAGTTTGACCCAGATTTGTCTGTAGAGGCCCGTAGTACTGATCTTTCTTTTGTAGCATTGGGGGAAAGTTCATTAAAGTTTTTCTAAGGTTACCACCCTATAAAAGTAGATGGCTGAGTTCTCCGTTCAAGGGCACAGACAGATTCAGTGGCTCATCAGTTCTCTGCATGGGTAATAGGTTTGGAGGTTAGAGTGGAAGAGGATTGATGTGGCAATAATAGAGGACTCCCTGGGTTAGGAATTGAATTTGGGTCCAGTTTGCCCCAAACTAAAATGAAGAGAAGGGAGCATTCAAAAAACCAAGGAAATCCAAAGAAGATACAGAAATGGCCAATGAGCACATGAAAAGACGCTCAACATTATTAGCCATTAGAAAAATGTCTGTCAGAACCACAATGAGATATCACTCCACACCCAGTAAAATGGCTGTCATCAAAAAAAGAAAAATAACAAATGTAGGTGAGGATGTAGAGAAATGGTACATTGCTGTGGCGGGAATGTAAAATGGTACAACCACCATAGAAAATAGTTTGACGATTCTTCAAATAGTTAAACACAGAATTACCATATGACCCAGCAATTCCACGCCTAGGTATATGCCCCCCGAAAATGAAAACAGGTATGCAAACAGATACTTACACAGCAATGTTCATAGCAGTACTATTCATAGCCAAGAAGTACACATCAACAGAAGAATGGACAAGAGAAAAACAGTATATACACTACAATGGAGTATTATTTAGCCATAGAAAGCAATGAGGTAGTGATATTTATTACAATATGGATAAACCTTGAAGATATCATGCTAAATGAAAGAAGCCAGGCATAAAAGGGTAAATATTACATGATTCTGCTTATATGAACTGTCTGTTGTTGTTGTTTGGCCCCCCAGTTCATGGCCTGGGTGGTACAAGTAGTTTGCAATTGGCTGCTAACTGTAAGGTTGGCAGCTTGAATCTACCTAGAAGTTCCATGAAAGAAAGGCCTGGTGATCTGCTTCTGTAAAGATTCTAGCCAAGAAAGCCCTATAGAGCAGTTCTCTCTGTAACAGATGGGAAAACCAAATAAAAAAACAAACCAAACTCAATGCCATCAAGTCAAATCTGACTCACAGCAACCCTTCCTTGGGTTTCTGAGACAGTATATCTATGGAAGTAGATTGCCCAATCTTCCTTCTGAGAAGTGGCTGGTGGGTTTGAACCACCATCCTTCTGGTTAACAGTCAAATGCCTTAGGCACTGTACCACCAGAGCTGCCTAATAGATGGGGTCACCGTGAAATACCTAGAATAGGCAAATCCACCAAAGCAGGAAGTAGATTGGAGGTTGCCATGGGAAGGGGGAGTGGGGAATTTCTGTTTGGGGTAATAAAAAGTTTTGGAAAACGATAGTGGTGATGATGACACAACATTGTGAATGTAATTAATGCCACTGAGATGTACACTTTAAAATGGTTAAAATTACATATTTCATGTTACATGTATTTTACCACAGTAATAATAATAAGCTGAGGGCATGTGTGCAAAGACCTCAATATAGGAGAAAACCTGACTAGAAAAAGGCTAGCATGACCAAGGAAGTTTGCAAAGGAAAAAACACTGTAAGAAAGCCAGTTGGTTTAGGCATCTTCCTAGTAGCAATGGGAAGCCTTTGGAGGATTTCAAGCCAGGACGTGATGAGGTCTGATCTTTCTGAAAGATCCTTCCAGATAGTTTATACAGAATTACAGCAGAAGGACATAGTCAAGTGCATTGACCTGGGATGTGTGATGTGCTAGATGTGGTGAAACCAAAAAGCAAGCCTGTTGCCATTAATTCAATTCCAATTCATAGCAACCCTATAGGACAGAGTAGAACTGCTCCAGAGAGTTTTCAAGGCTATAATCTTTATGGAAGCTGATTGCCATATCTATCTCCTGCAGAGCGACTGATTGGTTCAAACTGCCAACCTTTCAGTCCACAGTTAAACACTCAACCATTATGCCACCTGAGCTCCCATCTAGCCATGGTATAAAGACAGAAGGAAGCAAGGATGCCCAAATTTCACATTGGGTCATTTAGATGATTGTCCTCATATAGAACTGGGAAAGGTGGTGGGAGGAAGGAACCAGAGCTTTAGCTGTTGCCATTAAGCTGAAGTGAGTTAGAGACTCACTCTGCATCAGGTGTGGGGGGTATGCAGGTCTAGGTAAGTGTGTGTACATATAGTCGTTCTGCTGGGCGAGGTGGTCTAGAACAGGGGTCAGCAAACATACTGTGGCCAGCTGCTTGTTTTTTGTAAAGTTTTATTGAAACATGATCATGCCCATTTGTTTACATATTGACTGTGGCTGTTTTTGTGCTATAATATGGTAAGGTTGAGTAGTTGCAACAGAGATCATAATGGCCTGGCAAAGCTGGAAATGTGTACTACCTGGCCCTTGACAGAAAAAGTTGGCCAACCCCTAACCTAGAATATAAGGAGAGCTGGGACTGGGTCCTGGGGCCTCAAACATTCAGAGGTCAGGCGGTCTGAGGAAGAGAAGGATCAACCCATGTGTCAGAAGAAGGCCAGAAGGTTTGGTGTGACAGATGCCAAGGAGAGATTTTTCAAGTGGGAATGGCTGGCTCCTAAACACAGCTAAGTTCAGGACAGTGATTTTAGGCCTGAGAAGCCTCTGTTGGGTTTAGAGACTTGGGAGGAGCCAGTTTCTATCATTAACTACAAAGAAGCTGGTGCAGAAAGGATACTGTTTGAAGAACAAAGGGAAAGCCGTGAGGCAGGCAGTGAATATAGATGCATCTTTGAAAATGGACCATGAAAGATAGGAGTGAGGCGATGGCTGGAGAGGTGGCAAGTGAAGAATCAAAGTTGAAGATGCCAGAAAGTGCTTTCATGCTGGTGGGAGTGGTTCAGGGGAGAGGCGACCCTGGGGGCAGAGTCCTTAAAGGCATGAAGGATGGGGTCCAGAGGTGAGGTAGGAAACTGGTCCTTGAACAGAAGGACAGAAATGTGGTGACATGCTGGGAGAGTTATGATTGGGGAGAGGACCCAGTGACTCCTGCTCGCTCTTGATTTTTGTCAATAAAACAACATTCGTCCGTCAACTGAATAGGGTGGGGAAGGATGTTTTGAACAATATAAAGGAACCTCCATCTAACACTTGAGTATTTGAAATTTGAAATTCATTGTTTGTGTCCTAGGTCCCTTTCATTACCTAAAACAAGTTCCTATCTGAAGTGCAAAAGCTCTGGTCCATGTCAGTCAATAATATTGATCACACATGGCAAGAACATGCTGCCATGTGTTTTCTCTCCTTTGCCCTCAATGCTAGGAGTGATCTCTTTGTTACAGATCACGTTCCTGAGAAACATCACATGGACCTTGTCCAACCTGTGCCGGAACAAGAACCCGTACCCTTGTGCAAAGGCGGTGGAGCAAATGCTGCCTATCCTCTTAAACCTCCTGCATCACTCTGACACTGAGGTTCTCTCGGACGCCTGCTGGGCCCTGTCCTACCTCACCGATGGCTGCAACAAGCGCATCGGCCAAGTGGTTGGCACAGGCGTCCTGCCTAGGCTGGTGGAGCTCATGACCAGCTCAGAACTCAATATCTTGGTAAATATCATCCCAGGGCCTCTCTGTCTCTATGATGGCCTTCAGCCTAGAGTCCATAAGTCATGTTCATTTTAGCAAATTCTGTTCTATGCTCCCCCACTTTCCTACCCAGGCCATCCACAGTCAGCTCTAAACCCTTTCCCTATAACAAAGCTTGCCATCTGCAATTCCCTGGTCTTTGCCTTTCTTTAGTCAAAGGCTTGAATTGATTTTGATCTAAAATCTGGTCAGTATTAAGGTGGGAGTCCTGGCTGCACAACGATTGAGCTCTCGGCTGCTAACTATGAAAGGTCAGTGGTTTGCACCCACCCACTGGCTCCACGAGAGAAAGAACTGGCAATCCGCTTGTGTAAAGACTGCAGCCAAGAAAACCCTACAGGGCAGGTCTACTGTCACGTGGGCTTCCTGTGAGTCAGACATTGACTTGACAGCACCGAACAATAATAATTTATTCTTTCTTAATCTGATTACTAGAAAATACAGAAAAGCACCAAAGAACCAAAGTGAAAATTGCTTGTAATCTGACCACCCAGTAAACTACTTTTTTTTTTTTTTTTAACTACATTTCCTTCTAGGCATGTATCCATGTAGACTTTAATAAGTTGGCTTATATGGGATATATTTTTTAGGTGGTAAAGCTCATTGTGATGTTTGAATGTTTTACCCATTGCCATTGAGTCTATTTTGACTCAAAGCAACTTTATAGGCCAGAGTAGAACTGCCCCATAGGGTTTCCAAGAGTAATCTATGAGCAAGCGGACTGCCTCATCTTTCCCTTGCAGAGTGGCTGATGGGTAGGAATGACCAGCCTTTTGATTAACAGCCAACTGCTCAACCACTGTGGCTGCTTCTGTAAAGATTCACAGCGTTGGAAAGCCTCCAGGGCAGTTCTGCTCTGACCTCTAGGGTCCCTGTGCATTGGATGGACCTGACGGCAATAGGTTGAACTTGGCGCAGAAGCGTATAAAGGAAATTCTCGTATTTCCCTCCAGTTAGTTCTTGTAGATCAGAGTATAGACAAAAACAAGTCAAACCAAAGCGAACCTTTGCTGTGTTATGAAACACAGGTTACTTGGATAATCCACTGCTTTGAAATGCAGGTGTGTTATATTTAAGATGCCTCCATCTACCCCTTCTGGTTTCTATGCCTAATATTACACATTACATAGCCTTAATGAGTCTCTAGGAGCCCTGGTGGCACAATGGTCAAGAGCTCGGCTTCTAACCGAAGAGTTGGCAGTCCGAATCCACCTACTAGCTCTGTGGAAGAAACACTGGTGATCTGCTCCTGTCAAGATTACAGCCTAGAAAACCCTGTGGAGCAGTTCCACTCTGTCACATGGGTTCACAATGAATCAACATGGACTCAACAGCTCTTAACTACAACAGTGGTCCATTCTGAGATTCAGATAGTATAGGAAGGTTGGTTTGTGGTAGTACTGGGTTGGGGGGAGAGTGTGAGGAGAGTATCTACAGAAGCTGTTGATCCCAGGGGCCTGGAGCCCAGGTGGAGCTGCTCTGGCAAGGCTGTGACTGGTCTACACACTACTCCCACCTCCCAGTTGAGTAGCAAGGATGTGGCATCCTAGACTAGGAAAGTTCTAGAACTGTGGATGGGCTGTGCTGGGGCTACAAACCTTACCACTGCAATACTGATACACCAAAATAAATCTGCAGTCAACCTTCCTAGCTCAATTGTGGTCTTGAGCCCAGTTGTAGACCCAATGTGGGGAACTTTAAATGTTATTGCAAGAAATACCAAGAAATACCATTGGGATCCCATTAAACACCAAAAAAACCAAACCCAGTGCCGTCAGGTCCATTCTGACTCATGGCAACACCATGGGCTCCATGGGGGTTTCTTGGCTACATCTTTACAGAAGTGGATCACCAGGCTTTGCTTCCACAGTGCCACTGTACGGGTTTGAACAACCAACCTTGAGGTTAGTGGTCAAGTACAAACTGATCGCACCACCCCAGAACCAATATGTCTTCAGTACAAAATATTACATGATAAGCATTATATCAATTTAGCACTTTTCCCAGTGTAAGGATATGAAAAGGATAGCATCATTCCTTGATAAAGAAACCCCTTTAGCTCTCTCTCCCACTTGAGCCAGATGGATTGGTAAGCTGGCACGTACCTTTAAACTATGCAATCAGCCATGGATGAGCTGAATTAATGGTTGTGGGGTATCATCACTGCTCACAAGCTTCCAGAGAAGCATCAGCATAACATGACTAATGTTTGGGAGGACCATCTTGCACGGGGTAAATTTGCAACCTCTGGTTAGACTTCTAGTGTTCTTCTTCCAGACCCCTTCTCTCCGCACGGTGGGGAACGTCGTCACGGGAACGGATCAGCAGACCCAGATGGCCATTGATGCGGGCATGCTGAATGTGCTGCCCCAGCTCCTAAGGCACCCCAGGTCCTCCATCCAGAAGGAAGCGGCCTGGGCCCTGAGCAACGTGGCCGCAGGGCCCCACCAGCACATCCAGCAGCTGATTGGTCACGGCACGCTGCCTCCCTTAGTGGCTCTGCTGAAAAACGTAAGTCACCCTCTGTAGCGCCCTTGGCCAGAGACAACTTTCCAACTAGCCCTGTGTTTCCAAGTAGGCTTCCTCCTTCAGGAGTTGAACACAGCCTAAGAAGCAAATTACAGCCAAGTCTCAGTATTTGTGGTAGCTGTGGTCTATAATAGATGGTCTGTAAAGGGGTACCAGTGGCACAGTGGTTAAGAAGTAGACTAGTAACGGAAAGGTCAGTGGTTTGCACCCACCCGGAGGTTCCACTAGAGAAAGACCTGGCAACCTGCTTCGGTGAAGATTGTTGTTGCTGTTAAGTGCCGTCGAGTCGTTTCCGACTCATAGCAACCCCATGCACAGCAGAACGAAACACTGCCTGATCCC